ATTCTCCACCCAGCCTGGATTTGTGCTTGTGCATCAAGTCCAACAGCTTTCAGTAACACTCTAACTGCTGTCCACCTCCTCTTTAGCGCACGCAGAGCTACACCGATGCTGGGGCAGCTACAGAGGCTGGGCAGAGGGCTGCAGGGGCAGAAAACGAGGCAGCGCGTAGACAGTGCTCAAAATTTTCAGCAGAGATAGTCGAGTCTTTTTTTTTTCTCTGAAAAACACGCAGAAAAGAATCCCACAGACCAAGCTCATCAGCTATTTCTTTATCCATTTCTGCTTCACTCCACGTTTTGCTTCAGCTTTATACAAGTAAATCTGTATACAAAGTTCCCGACGACCTTACACTCGCAGGGGAAGGAGGATGGCACCGCAACCGCTCCCGCACACGCACAGCCAACACCATTTTCAGGGCGGGTGGAGAGGAGAAAACCAGTCACCACCTTTGTCTCACAGATGCGTGGTAATATTAAATGAAAGCTTAATAAAATCTCTGAAGAAAATCCCTCCCAGCCCCAGCCCACCACTCCATCAGCACAGTCCGTAGCGGATTTGAGACCTGCACAGCTCAGCACGTGCCCAAGGGCCAGTTGGCTTCGTTGGGTGAGCTGAATTCATGTTCTCTTGCCAGTCTGTGAGTGTCACAGGAGCTGATGTCTCTCAAAAGCAGAGCACGCCTGCCACAGAAAAAAGCCTTCACGCAGGTCTTAGGTCCCAACAGCAAATTTCTACTGAGAGCTAGACGAGAGCACGACCTGGTAACTTCAGCCTCAGAGCTCCGGTGATGAAGCAGCACGTTACCCATCAATGTTTAGATGCCATCAGAGCAAGGAGGTTCCCTGCAAGAGAGACAAGTCGAGGAACCAACAGCTCGAGGTCTTTCCAGAGGGTACCCAGGAGTTTCCAGATCTCTGTTCGTGTCCTTGTGCTGAAAGTGAAGGGTCTTCATGAGCAATGAGAGGATCGCAGCTGCTCCTCATCCTGTCCCCTCCTATTTTAAGATGATGTGGTAGCTATCATTGGTCTCAGCTGCAAAAAAAAAAACAAAGGAAAGCTTGTGAGCCACCTGCAACGGCAAAGGAATCCACTGGGTTGAGCAGATCTGACACAAGGGCTCCCCAGGAAATACTGGAAGGGAAATACAAGATGGAGCCCGGGAATTTACGCACCTTTCATGGTGTCCAGAACGAAACAGGATTCGTCTTGGAAGTTCTGTATCATCTGAAAGAAGGCAGGAAAGCCAGCTTAGTCCGAGGCTGGATTTAAACACAGCACAAGCGCTTCGCAGCTCTAAGCGAAGGCTTTGTGTTCTGCCATCCGGTGATGGGCAGAGATTTAAGGTACTGCAAGGGCTAGAAGGTGCTCAGGCAGGAGCTTAGTGCTCTGGGAGGTAGGAAAGGCACCAGCCATAAATATTTATTTCTTCCTTCAGCTCTCTAGAACTGAAGGTCTGAACCAGCAAGCCGAGAGAGAATCCATCGGATTCCAGGAAGCAAGTCTGAAAGCACAGTCCTCCCACAGCAATTCCCCTCCTGGTTTTTACAGCGAAGCCAGAAGAAACCCAAGCATGAAGGGGGGGTGTGCCTGCAGCCTGGACTAGCTCAGGGAGAGCTGCTCACGCCTGATAAACCTCACGGGTTTAAGTGAGGTGCCCCCAGCAGCAGAGCAGTTTCCCCAAGCACCGTGTCCTTGGCTCTACAGGCTTCAAGGATTCACTCCAACCCTTTGGAAAAGTGGAGGTGACTGAGCAGAGCCCTTCCCAAAGACCTGCCCAGGGGATTTGTTCCCTGGGGTCCTGTGTAACCTCCACAGCAGAGCTGAGAGCACAATGAGACACGAACCCGCTGAAGCAACTCAGTGCAAGAGGCTGGAAATAAGGAGCAGAGGCAGATACCTCGTCGCTGATCAGCACGTGTATCCCCGTCGGACCTTGCTTGTAAATCTGGCTGATCTGTTGGGAAGAAATGCTGAAGAGCTGTGCCAGCTTTTCCGTCAGTTCCACCGCAGTCAGTTCCTCCAGATAAATAGCGTGGTACACTGGGAGGAGAGGAACTGTTACAGCCAGATGCCAAGGGTGGCTTCGACGTCTGTGGATGCAGAGACGCTTCGCCCAGCGCCACGCACGCTAACCCACCACAAACGGGCTGCGCTCTTCCCAGGAACATCACAGCCCCATCACGAAGGGACCCTGCACAGCCCAGCTATCAAGCGGTGCTTTTCAAGCAGGTGAAACACCCGCTGCCACTCACGTGGCTCTCATTTTTCCAAGCCCAAGCTGCTACATCTACGTGTAGGATCTCTGGCATCTGCTCTTGCTACACAAGCATCAGCTTCGCAGTAACTTGGCCATCGGCAACGTCCTGCGATGCTCGCTCTATTTACACACTCCTCATCCCCAAAAGCCTCTATTTCAACTAACATCAGCCAAGCAGCATTTTGTATCATTTCTGGTGTTTTTTAATCCCAGGAGGATGGAAACACCACCCTAACACCTCCCCAGATCCCTCCCTGTTCCCCCACTCCTGTGAAGCAGGTCCTCGGAGGGGGGAAAGCGAGAGGATCCAAACTGGAGCAGGGCAAGGAAAGGACGAGCTGGTTGATTTTGCACTTGCCACTCCAATCACGGAGGTGGATAACCCGGCGCCTGGCTGCTCCACAAATGTAGGTCACTCATTGTTGTCTGGGCAATGCTGGATTCTCACAGGAGCTATCGTTTGTCAGCTCAGAGCAGGCAACATGCCGACAGCCAGATTCTGCAGCCACTGATGTGGTGGGCAAGGAGAAAAATCAGCTGGGGAGGACCAGGGTAAGTAATAAAAAAAAGGGGTTCACCACAATCTTTTGGTGTCCTGACCAAAGGAGAGCAGGAGCAACCCCTCAGTTTGGGTACAGAACCTGCAGTAGGTCACAGGTGAGCTCACAGACAAGCTCGCTGCCTCCTCGCAGCGAGGAGAGAAGGCGGCCAGCGGGCAACACAAGGCACAACAGCTGAAAACAAAAAGCCACAGACTTTCTTTGGGGGTCACAAGCAACCCCAGCTGTGAGAGGGGTCACCAAAAACCCACAGGGCAGTGATGTGGGGAGGAGGAGATTGGAGACAATTGGTGCTGAGCGCCTGTGGGCAGCAGCAGTGGGGCTGGAAACAGCCCCCACCGTGTCTCTGTTGGCTGAACCCCTCGGCTGTGATTTTCCCCCTCGCTCTGTCAGCAGCAACCCCAACCCACGTGCCCCCAGCTGGACTTTGAGCCTCTTACCAAAAAAAGTACTGGATACTGTGTCCCCATCCTCGTGTTTCTGCTGGAGGTCCCTCAGCTGCTGGGACTCCTGACACACGTAGATGGTCAGTCTGGGCCGCACCATCCTAGGAGAGCAGGGAGTGAAGGTCATCGGATTTGCTCAAGGATACCTCAGATTTTGACACTTTGCCAGTGCTCTTCCCTCCTCAGAATCATGGAATCCCAGACTGGTTTGGGTTGGAAGGGACCTTCAAGCTCATCCAGTCCCAACCCCCCTGCCAGCAGCAGGGACACCTTCCACTAGACCAGGTTGCTCAAAGCCTCATCCA